AATAGGAGACTGCTTTTGACTATCTTGCTTGCCTTGCCTAACCAGCGTGTCTACTGCGTCAAGTAGTTCCTAACACTAGGAGTTAAATACTGAAAAAGATCTGAGTTATTAACATCATAACTGTTACGCGGAGAATACGTAGGTAGATCGTTAATAATCCGCCATAGCTACGGGGGTTATCTATGACATATAAAACCAACTTTACCCTCTAGATTTAGAAAAAAAAAGAAGTTTAAAATTAAAAATATTAAAAATAAGCAGACTTTTAATAATAAATAGTATTTTCTAGTTAAATAAACAGACTGGCTAAATAAATATAATAAATAGATTTCAAAAAAATCTATAAATAATATCCAGCAAGCTATTCAAAGCTATAAAAAATAAAAAAAAATTAGAATAATAAAAAATATCTTATTTCTAAATATAAGAAAAACAACCAAATTTATATTAAATTACTATATTAGATATATTTAAAGATTAATATTAAAATATATAATTAAAATAAAAATTTCTATAAATAAACTAAATTCTTATTAAAAAACTACCGGACTAATCCGGCTAATTAATATTATTTTTATAAAAGATAAGCAGTAAAAAGCTAAAATTATTTTATTTTTTAAATATAAAAATTTTAAAGAAAGGCCTTGTTGCTATATATAATATATATTTTATAATAAATTTTTTTAAAAAATACCTACTTAGCTTTAGTCTATAAAAAAAATCTGTTATTTTTAGATATTAAATAAAATATAGTCGGATTATTCGCGATAAAACAACAGCCTATAATAAAAAAATAATAAAAAATCAGATTAGACTAATAAATTAGTCTATAAATTAATAAAAAGTTAATAAAAAAATATATAATAATTTTAGACTTATTAATACTAGTTAGTTTATACTTACAGCAGTAGACTAGCTTGACTATTTTAAAACTAGTAATTAAAGTTAAAATTAAATAACTAATTTAAATATAAAATATTAGATTTTAATTTAGATTCTGGTCGGGGGTAATATAATTAATAAAAAACTTCTAGCTTTAGTCTAAAATTTATAAAAACTTAAGAATATT